AGCAAGAGATAGAATACCAATATGAATAATACCACAATTGTAGGAAACCAAATGCAAGGAACTATATAGCCTCAACTAAGAAACTTTGCAAAGGAATAATAGTATTAAAACACCAATAAGCATAAATTCAAGAAGATGCTGAAGCATAGAAGAGAAGGAAAGAAAACATTGATTATGTCATAGAGAGAAACTTGCAATATAATACTGTGCTCCAATCATTTAACAACAAAAATCCAATCTTTAGACAAATTCATTTCTTTCATAGACATCATTTGTTCAGGAGGCATTATGGTTGACACAACCATATGGTAAATTATTTCGAAATAAAATTGTCCATTTATTACAAACATATGGTACTTTTTTCCTCCTATGAATATAATCCAAGTTGAGATTGAGAGATCAAAAAATCAAGAAATCAAGCACGGTAAAATTTCCCCTACTATGGATATAACAGAGCCAATCCCATTGTGAGTGGATTTCTCACTCAACTAATATGTAAAGTCTAAGTGATATAACACTTTCCAAAGAAGGAGCTTTCTTTAGTCTACTTCAAATGAAGTTAGCTATAAACCTTGAATCAGCACTAAGAAATTTTAGTTTATTTCAAAATCCAACACACTAGAATGCATCATCAAGGAGATTTGAGAAGTCATAGAATATACGGAATTAATAGGTTTCATTCATTGTTGATAATTGTGCCTCTCAAATTAAGTTCAACAACTCTGATTGCCTTCATCAAAATTAGATAAATCATGCATTGGGATTTTGAAGGCAAACAATAAGATAATTCATGCATGATTTTTCCCATATGCCACATCAAAACAATTAAATATTAAAAGTAGTCAATATAATTGATGAGATTCCAGCACAAGGGAGTCCAATATTAAGATATTACTTAATTGGCAATATAAACTGAAACTCTCCCGTCAAAACAATGCAATGTATAATATCACTAGTTATACCATGGTGTTGACCGACAAAGTCAATCCTTAATAACTAAAAAGTAAGAATAGAAACAAATGAAATATGAATTTCTCATCACAATAAATCCACGTCCAACCGAGAAATCGACCAACTCATGTGTAGAATGCAGGAAAATGTTTGTGCCATATGATAAACATACACAATCAATCATAATCCAGTAAAAATGACAAATCCTACCATTCTGTGAAGGCTTTGACTCGTTATTGGATTTGTTTGTGTTATTTTCTTTGCTGCAAAGAGAACAAATGATCAAGATGTAGTGATTATATACATCATAAACGGACCCCAAACAAAACCTTCTGTATTACAAAGTATGAACATATGCATAAGTGGATCGATAAAATAAATAAGCAGTAAAGTAAGAACAAATGAAACCCTTCAGCAAAGAATAGCACCTTAAATGAGAACCTCCAACAGGCAATAGGGTAGTGATATGAATTTTTTCAAAAGAAAACTAAAATAAAATAAAATGGAGGATGAGGAGGAAAATGGAAGATGAGGAAGAACTGCATGGAACCTA